TTTATCTCCATTGCTGCTTTGTCCAAGTGTGATGTGTGCAAAGTCCCGAAGTATGGGTATTCTGTTGTATGCATGTCGTGGTGCAAGAGTCTATGGATGTTGAATGTCTTCCTGTCCAAGATAGATGAATGAGCAGATGTGTAGGCGCTACAGGCGCAATTCTGGGGAACGCTCGGTGTTGATGCATGAGTGTGTTGGATTTCCCTCCCTTCCCCGACCCCTTACTGATCCCAACACCATGTGTATGTGTGGGGATCGCCGCTAAACTCTTTTCTTGCTCTCCCTTTGTGCGCGCGGAGATCAGGGTCAATTAGGCTGGTTCCGCCCCACGACTCACACTCGACAACCGGGGATATCAGTCGCCCACGTCCCCACAACGCGGCTAATATCTCCGCGACTCGACTGAGGTCACACTCGTCTTAATAACTAAACGGCGGTCGCGACGTCGACTCTCTGAGCCCTCGTTCGGACTGGCGCAGAGAGAGAGAGAGAGAGAGAGAGAGAGAGAGACAGAGAGAGAGAGAGAGAGAGAGAGAGAGAGAGAGAGAGAGAGAGAGAGAGAGAGAGAGAGGGTAAGGCAGGTCCCATTGATCTTGTATGGAGTCAGTGTTCGTCTCGTCGAACGTGAGTGTGGGCCATTGCCCGTGTTCCTCCTTCGCATCGGTCCATCGCTGCGTGCTACTGTCCTTTCCGATCGCAGACGACGATAGCCTGTACTGCGATGTGGATGTACGAAACACTCTGCGACGAACCGAGCAGATTCATTTGCATAACCCCGCCAGGGCCTGCCACATAGGAGGGAGTGAGTTTGTGTTGATTGACCGGTTCTCTTCCCCTTCCCTAATCCTTCCCTACACTGATCTGACAGTGTAACCCTGGTCCGCTAGCCACGCCACGAGGCAGCCTCGGTTTAACTGCAACTGGTATCGCCAGGGAGATTCGTGTTCCTGGCGAAGATTAGTACTGGGATACGAAGGTGCGGCTCGATTCCCTGAACTCTCCCGCAATGCGGGTGCGCTCCCAGCTAACTTCAAGGCCTGGGTTCTCCCATCCCAGCCTACACTAAGCGACGCTGCCCCAGGACGCCAACGCAGACTTGATGAATCTCACACGGAGGCATGAAAGCTCTGTGCCTTTGGGGGCCTTCCGCCACCGAGTGAGCATGAACCTAGTGTGAAAGGAGTCGTGAATTCCGCTTCCCACGGCCCCTTTTCTTTTCCTTCTGGTTTTGTTCATGGTCGGCCAGGTAGCACAGCCCTGCCAATCGAGTGCACGTTTTTGAAAACCGGATAAAACCTGTCGTCTCGAAATAACCTCTTTTCCTTCCCTGGTCTCTCTCTCTTTTGCCATTGACGTGGCCCAAATTCAAGACCCACCTCGGTACGAAACAAGAATCCCCCGTTCCGCCCGGGCGATTCAACCCCACCGGCGAAAAATCCGCGGCCACACCCCCAATTACTCTGACCAGCATTCGCGGGTACGGGACCGCGTGCGGGGTGTGAGGTTACACATCACACGCTCCCCTTTTCTTCCACTGGTAGTGAGAAGAACTTCACCTGGATAGAACACACGGCCAAACATTGTCCCCAAATATGGCTGTTATGACTGTGCATACTATAGGAGTGAGGACGGTACCAAACATCAGGTTGTCGCCGACAAACCTCGCGCTCACTAATGCTATGTGCATGTACAGAAAAAGGCACCAGAGCGCATATGTTGATGCTCTTGAAGTCTGAACCTAGTGGTAATGTCGGCTAGTTCCGTCCGTGCTTTCCTAGTAGCATGGCCAGAGCGTTGAGAGCGAAGCAGATGCCACTGCAAACATTGCACTCAGGAGATCAGAACCAAACCGACCTATTTAATTGGGAAAACTTTTTAAACTGCCCTGCGACAAAACCATTGTATTGATTTGTCCCCAAACAGTCGGACAGGGCCCAAAATCACTTTTCATGTCATGCTTGAAAGTGTTTTACAGCTGTGGGGGCTAATGAATACAGGGTTTTGCTGCCGGGGAATTTATAACTTTTCCCCATTTAATTCCCCAAGCAGTTAAGTTCCCCACCCTTGCCCAGCCTTCCCAACCAAGGGGAAGCAATCAGCAATCAATCCATTGCTTCACCTTGTATTGGGAGGCGAGACGAAAGGTGTGTTGTTCGAGCCATGTGCAGGCAGAAGGAGGAGGGGGGAAGAAAAAAGAAAAAAGAGAACAGGAACGGAAGGGGAAACAAAAGCACTATACATTCTGCACTGTGGGCATGGTCCTGTTTGAGGTGAAGAGGAGGGAGGGGTTAAATGACGGAGCATCAGGATGACATAATACAGCCCGAGGCTACTCCACCTGGTGCCAATCATCATCATCATTTTTACTTTTTTGCTTAGGGCGACAGCCTTGAGATATCATCATCGAAGTGATCAGCCCTAGGTAATTCAGCATTCTGGTATTTTACTCCTCTGGAGTCCCGAACTCAGGTCTGTATTTTTTTTTTTTTTCAAGAATTGTACATGTTCAAGGTAGGGGGCAATTGGCATTTCAGCTCAAGAGCGCAGGTACCAACCCACCTCATCTCAGGGTTAATGGCTGAGAGCATCCGCAAGGGTAGACCTATGCTGTACCCGGTCACACAGGCATCACCCTTAGTCCCCCTAAGGTGCTGCGAGCAGCCCTTCCGTTCTCATGAAGAACGGCCTACCCCCAACGGGTACAATTTATTGGCCCATCCCCCCAAGGGGTGCCTGACCCTAGTAGGCGAATGCACTGTAGCCCAGCTGCTGGGTCGCAGACAGCAGGCACAGATCTAATCCCAGCCAGCCACCTGCAGATACTTCAGAGCAGGTCTGTATTTCAACAGTTCAAGAAGGGCGTATCAACTGAGCTAGGCCAGTTGGTTCTTCCATTCAGTCTCGTCTTGTCATCTTCACATTGACGGTGTGCACGGGTAACTGCACCACCCAAGGCGCTATTTTTGAAACTTACCCTTCCAAAAAAAAGGCGGCAATTGCTGAGCGCATTTTCAAAGTTTCCCAGCGGAAATGTTGTCCGGGTCCGAAAGATGTGTTTTTGCAACGGAAGTGGGACCCCGTCCGCAAATATTTTTGCTATGCAGCCACTGGGACCTCTAAACCTGCAACCAAGGACGTATTTTTGCAACGAAACTTGGGACCCGCCACTATTTTTACTGTGAAGCTACAGAGAACCCCCCCTTTTTCCCTTTTTTTTTATAAATAATCTATGTTCTTCTCTCAATCTATCTATGATTCTATGTATATTAACTGCTGGTACACGACTTAATTCTGCGTCTATCTCAGCTGCTACTCTATGAATAATCGGGGCAACACCCACGACACCTGGAACTCTCCCCAACGGAAATGCTGCTCGAACCCAAATATATAAAAGCAAAGCACTCCTTCTCCGGGACAAGGTCCCACTTGCACGGATTACGAGAATCTGGCCGTTGATCTTTGCTATCTACGGTCAATATAAGTGGGACCTAGCCCCGGGCCGGAAGTTATGGAGTCATTTTGTCGAGTTACGTAAACTCCCCAGCCCACGGGGCAGGTTTGCACCACAGCAGTGGTGCGAGAGCAAGGCTTTTATCAGCCCCTCGTCACGATGATGCAGGGTGATCAGGCATTGCCGATGGCGGGGAACAGGTGAACCGGCTATTCTTGAAATATACCCTTGGAAAAAACATTTACCTTTGGAAAAAACAAAGAAAGCCAGGTCTGTGTTTCATAGCTTTTTATGAGGTTGCACTGGGAGCCAGTGCTTGTTATATCAAATTCGCACCATGGATTTTGTCAGAAATGTTTGATGCTTCTTGGGGTTTTCTGTTTGATACTCTGACTGTGGTTATCTTAATTGTGGTCACTTTTGTCAGTAGTTTAGTTAGATCAGTGAATGACATGAAGCGTACCATAGTCTAACGCACCGTCGGATTGCACATCATCACGGTTTTCCCCTGGACTCTCACATTCGCTGATCACTTCCTTCCCTCTCATACCTGACTTGTACGCCCCTCTCCCCCGCGAACAATTCCTTCTCACGCATAGTCCCTCCCTCCCTCTCCCTTAATTACTTTATACGCCTCATCCTCCAATATAAACGAAGGCCGTCAAAAGATCAATTGCCAAGGTTCTCAATAATCTGAGGGGTAATTTCAGTAGAGCAACAAAAACGAGTTATAATTATATCATATGCCGCCAGAACACTCGGCCGTAGACCCCAAGGAACAGCCGAAGGAGTTAAAATCCGGACGGGTCAGATTTTTGGCGCCTTATACCTGGCGCGAAGTTTTCAAGTGCATCAATTTCCCGCCATTGTTTAAGCCAAGCCTGTGTCGGTGACTCTTAATTCACCTGGCAGCCTTAAATCGATCTCTCACTCTCGTCAAGGCTTCGGGTCTCGCTGCACTACTCTCGACACGCACAAAAAACAAAAATTATGGCCGTGTATCTCTCGATATTCTAGCGGAAGATTCACTCTCGTTTTGCACATTTCGAGAGTAGTGCAGCGAGGCCCTTCGTCTGCTACTCCCATGTCAACCAACCCTCATTTACCTTTTTCGTACTTTTTTTTTTTTTTTTTTTTTTCGTTACTTCTTACACCCCCCGCTAAGGTTTCTCGATCCGTCAGCAAAACTCACGGTTTCGAATTTCCACAGCACAGATTCTTTTTTCTTTTTTTTTTCATCACAGATTTCCTTTCCCCTCTCACGCTAGGCAAGCAATTCCTTCGGACACAATACTCCACCCATACCCCCCCCCTCCCGGCCCTTGGCCGCCCCCTTTAGAGAGGCCTCACACTACCACTTTTGTCAACGTATCTGACCGCAATGACGGCAAGAGTCGGATGCATCTCACAGCAATCACGTCCAGAGCTGTGTCGAGAAAGTCCCAGTATGAGTGTGGCCTTAGCTATTGAATATGGCTCATCGATCATCCGGGATGGCAAGCCCGAGGACCCTGAACGTCACACCCCCACCCCCCACCCCTTCAAGTTCTCCATCACATCTCATTCATTCTCATGTACGACTCAGTCCAGACTGGACCTATCAGGCAGAATGTTCATAGTACTATCTTTGAAACTTCCGGGACTTGCCATGCGTGCATACGGACGTTGAATACCTCCTCGAGCACAAAAAAAAAAAAAAAAAAAAAAAAAAGAAGAAGAGTCACTGTGCTGGAAATAGGGCAACGCGACTCGAATACGTCAAGAAGAGATGGCTGCGTTCCCCCGAACATAACGCACCCTGATAATGAATGCATACAAGCTATATTTCCAGGCAGGTACAGCGAAATGACGGTGCGTTGTGGTCGGGGAAAGACGGCAGTTAGTGCAAACACGACTGAGTCTCTCACTCATGTGAATCAGATGCAAATGGAGTCGAGTCTCAGATAACACAACTCACTGGCATAACTTTCTGACGTCGTTCTGCCGTCGATTCAATTGCCGATGACTCGCAGTTCTGGCCTTGCCGTCTGCAGAGAGTTTAAACCCAAAGTCGTCACATTGTCGCAGTACTTAACCTCTAGAGTTTTCAAGCCCGGGAATTTTCGGCCAATGAGACCCAAGCTTGCATCCGTGATCTCTGGTTCGTCTGACAGCGTTAGACTTTCCAAATTAGGAAGGTTGTCTCCAATTACGCTAATCACACCATCATCAGTCAGGGTGTCCACAAGATACAAAGAAGTCAGCTTGGGAAGAGAAGGAAGCTAGCGAAAGCGGGGGACTTCTCTTCAGCATGATGGTAGGGCGCATCACACGCATCACATGCCATCGTGATTGACAGCTCACGTAATCCCTGACATCCATTAACAATCGCATCAACGGCCTTGATCCTCGGGCGATGAAGGCTAAGCACGAGCAAGTCCAATCGCTCAAGGAGGGGGCAGTTCCTCCCGATGAGATCCAGAACATCAGGGTCGCAGTCCCACGTGGACAGGCTGATCAGTTGCCCTTGGGCGCGTATTACCGCAGTCCTAGCAGCACTCTTACAAGAGGCAATCCGCCACGAAGCCGACTGCCATGAAGTCGAATGCCAGGCACCCACTCCAAACCAGAGACGGGCGTCGGGTTCCTTCCAGCAGCCGGGATCAAGTGACGCTCGATGCCAGCTCTTGCAGACTGCACCTACACGAATCCTCTGCTGAACATAGCTAAGAAAGCTGAAGATGAGTACCAGAGCATCGTGTTCAAGATCTCCCCAATCATGCCCAACTTCCACGTCATCAGCACGCTTGTCCTCCAGATTACACTGCTGATGACATGCGTAAGGTGGATGCTCATGATCATGATAGGTGCAAGGTCTATGAGTGGAATCATCACTGTGCTGTGAAGATGTCTCCGTGTCACTCCTCTCTGACAAGAAGGAACCCCCTTTTTCCTCTGCGTTTGCCACGTCTCTCTCCGCATCACTCTCTAAGAAGACGCCCTCTGTTTCTCTCTCGACGCCTGCACTCTCACTTTCGGCCGCATCATTCTTTAAGAAGTCCTCTCCTGTTTCTGGCGCCAACGCCGGCAAGTAATCAGGCCTTTGATCCGTCTGCTGATCACGTGTCGGATCTCCCTCACGCCTTGGGAAAACATCCTCTTTGTTTCCCTCTTTTTCGATGCTCATGGTACTTCCCATCGTCTCCGCCACTCTTGAAAGAGACTGCCTCTCTTCCTCTCTCTCTCTCTTCTCTCTCTCTCTCTCTCTCTCTCTCTCTCTCTCTCTCTCTCTCTCTCTCTCTCTCTCTCTCTCTCTCTCTGTGTGTGTGTGCAGCCCCAGCTTGGGATCCCTGCCTAGTTTTCACAGTCGCCAGCCATTTCATATGGCAACAGCTCGAGCACCTTCGCTCCACTAGCTATGGTAGGCCTTCTTCTACTCCTTTGCTTTTTCTTCGTGAGGCTATGGTAGACCTGCCACGGTCACACGACCGCTACGAGGGAGGACAATAGACGACAAGCCTGGTTCTGGTGTCTACGAATGGTGGTGTGATAGTCGCCTGCGGCATGACAAGGACCCTGAAGCCTTCTCTCCCCCGACCACCGCGCACCTTCACCATGTCTACACCGTCTATGTGCTCGAACGCAAAGCATCCTCATCGTGTTAGGAACTTAGGGCCTCGCCACACCAGTGTCGAAACTACGATTTTCGATAATTTGTCTTCGCCACACAGGCTGTCCAAATTGGAGACGGGAAGAAAATGACTTCGCAAGTTGTCAGAGAATGCTTCTGGACACCTGCTGTCGAAAGTTGTTGAATCCCCAGCCAGCCTCTGCTGCGCCGTCGACTTCTCTTCCACATCGGTGAGTGGGCGTGAGGTCGGGATGGACTACCCTTCTTCACTCGAATAGAACGCCCGGTCATTATAGCCGTATTTAGTGCAATTTTCAGTACCCGGGCTTTCTATCAGGGTGAAGCTTTCTATTCGGGTGAAGACCGTAGTGCTTGTCTCAGGGCCTCGGGGGCGTTCGTCTTTTTCCGTCTTAGGGCCTCGCCACACCACTGTCGAAACATTGGCAGGACCTTGGCTGATGTTGTTGGCTGCTATGCAGAGAAAATATTGGCCATTAGACACCCCTATGTGGGGTTGGGGGGGCTTAGGGGGAGGTGCAGTGACTGGCCATTGCTCGGCACTAGCACCGCCGATTTCCCCCATCGGCAATGCCTGCCCACCCCTCGTCACGATGATGAGGGACTGGTACAGCCTTGCCCTGGCACCACAGCTGTGGTGCCAACCTACCCTGTGGGCTGGGGAGGGATCGGGGTTGGTTGGTGTTCCCCCATACTATATATAGAATAGTGAGAGGATGAGATWGATGTGTACTATCAAGAAAAATGAGATAGATGAGAGAAGAATATATCTTACCTTTAAAAAAAAAAAAAAAAATTTAGAGTGCATCTTCATGCAGAGCTTGGCAAGATGCATCCGTTACTATGAATAGCAAAGGATGCATCCTACCACTTTCTGGGGAAGATTCATTCTTTCTTTTTTCATTTAAACAGTTGTGTGGCTAGGCCCTTACATTCACAAGTGCGTCCATTCTACAGTGCTGTGTGGCATAGAGAGGGGGGGCGTTGGCCAAAAATCTTTTGGCAGAAAATGTCTGACAGTTGGTGCTGTGTGGCAAAGGTTTCTTTTTTTTTTTTTTTAAATTGGGTTGGATCCACCCGAGGGTGGGTAGCCTAAACCGTATGTGTTCATATAGTCCGTAGACTATTCCTGTCCTTATCGCCCTGTGCTGTCTTTCGTTCGGAGTGTTAATCGTGCGGAAAGAGGCCCAGAAAAACAGCAAGATGGGGTGTGCCAAGGATTTTTGGAAATTGAGTGTGGGGACACGGATGGAACTGAAATCCCCCGTGTTGGTCCGATGAGGCAAGTCGATTGCTTTCGCGCGTCGCGAAATGCACGCGCGTGCACGGTGCGAAAAGAGAAAAAATCCAAATTCAATCCAAAAAGTATTGTCGGGCTTCCCACCGTGCTACGGCCCGTCGTTTAGAGTGGAAGGGCTTTGGTACGCTTCCCGTGTCTCGTTTCCGCATCAAATCTCGACGTCGTTCGCTGGTCAGTTCTGAGTCTGACTTGGATGGTCTCAGCCGCGTGGCTCCTTCCTTATGCTCGTCTTCACTTCGTATTCGGTAGTGGAAACCCTTGGCTTCGTAGCAATCGAAGCGCTGGCACTCCGTGCACAGGGTTCGAGGCCAATGGGGTGCCACTGCCGTCCACGGAATGACGATCAACTCGTTAAATGGCAACAATATTGAGTAGGGTGGAAAGTGCGTATCGATAATGACAAACCCCGCTTCTATGAACCCTGAACAACGGTTGGCCGGAGGGAAGTAATATTGCCCGCCGATTTGTGCGACAGCTTCTCGTACGTCCCACTCGCATACACGTGTCCTTTCCTCGCTGTAGGGAAAAGATCGTGTTGAGATGGGAGATACGGGAGGGTGGCGCCCGATCGAAGGGTGCTTGTCAGTCCACATAGCAATCAACCGCAAATATCTTGAGACGTCATCAAGAACAGAAAACCCTCACACAACCCCCAATCAATCCTTTTTGACACAGGAGAGAGAGAGGAGAGAAAAAAAACACGCGTCGGCTTGATCATGCATATGGCTAAGGGACCGACCCGCGACTCAGTTTTAGTGTGCCAACACAACGTTGGTCCCCGGCGCGTTGTTTCTCAAGGCCGCCCGGTGGCTGGGCTGCTGATGTCGTGCATCATAAGGCAGATGGTATGCGCAGTGCGTTCACAACCACAAATCTAAACACTCTTGCATTCTCGAACAAAATCCCGACGTCTATTGTCTAATCAATGCGAAAAGACACATCTCCATACATGCATTCAGTGTGGAAGATGTGAAAAAAACGGGGGTATACAAGTCAGAGAGCAATCAAGGGGATTGTACACACGCATCCACCGTTCACAAGACTAGAGGATCAAGTCCTCGACATCTGGGGATTACCTAGGAAACTAATGGAAGGGTTCCGGAAGAAGTTGTTTCTCACAAGAAAGCGCACCGGTTCATTCTCATCAAAGGGAGGGACAAACACCGAGAAACATCATCTTTCAAAGATAGAGGAGAGAGAGGAGAG